CCTTACCAGTCGTTTTTGTAGGCATTAAACTGCCAGAATTTATCTCCGTTTGCATTGAACTTTCAGCTTCGTAACTTCGCAAATATTGTTTATGATCAAACAGCAACATTACACACTAACTAACATTAAAAAAGTGAAATCGCAATCAACCACCCCTTTAAAAATGACTAAAACACTGCACACTGATGCATTTGGGTCTTCAGCCTTCCTCAGAGTGTGTCAGGAACCAAATGAATGACACGTGTAGGTATAATTAATCAGTGAACTTGGGAGAAACTTTTGTGATTTTTTTTTTTAAATTACCATCAGAAGGATAAAATATACAGTTTAAATTTTTTTTATTTTTTTTATCATATTTATCCAAACATTTGCCTGTCATTCAAAATCCTCAAATATGGCACTAGGCACATCCAAGTGTTAGTGTGGAGTGTGGAGCTGTTAGTGTGTACTGCATGACATGAAGGCACCAGCGCAATCACTCAAATTTTTCCTGATAACAGTGGAAAAATTTTAAACATTTTGTCATTTTATTTATGAATAAATGATTTAGTAAATTATTTATTAATAAATAATTAAAATATCTCCTTGCTATTTTTTCCAATACATTCATAGTCATTACTTTTGCCGGGGCTCTGTGGCAAGCTTTATGTAATTAAAGTAATTAAATTAATGTAAACATGCAATTAGTCAACAATTGGCTTAAATGAATGACTACTAGTCGACTAGAAAAATCTTCAGTTGGGGCGGCACTAGTTTGATTTTGCAATGTTAAACTGTTTTATTTTTATATATATTATGAGATTGTGTGTCTGATGTTAACAATTATAATTTTCTCCATTACTACTTTATCTGGCAAATGGCTGTAGAGATAAACTGGTTAACAATCTGAATTCACCTTTATTTTCAACAGAACATGTATCTTTATTAAATGATCAAATATACTGCATCTTTTGTCAGTAAATATAAATTAATGTGTAGTTATTCAGTTATTTATTACTCTGTTCAGATTG